ACACTTGCACACTGACTTAACAGGATGTCTCTGTTTAAATTTCTAAAGGGAAAATCCAAATGATGGCCCAAACCTGGTGCTAAAAATTGGGAGGGGGGATTATGGTAATATGCTATCCTTCCTCACCACCTACTCTATGAATGGGACAGAGGGAACTGGCTCTCTTTTTCACCTGATTTATGCTACAATCCTGTGTACACACTTACTTGGGTGTAAAGTCTCATTGAACTCTGTGGGATAGAGATGTACTATTAAAAGTCTTGGTCTTAAACAGGGCACAGCGAGTTTGCGTGCAGTACCAAACAAATTTATTTGGAATATAAACTCTGGCAGCAGAGAGGTGTGATTCAACCATACAATGTAGCTGGAAGTGCTAGTCAAGCTGCATCTTCTTCATTTCAACATGATCAAGATTTTAATTTTGAGACTCTAGAGATTATCTGATGCATAGCTGTCAACTTTCCCCTTTTCTTGCGAGGAATCCTATTCGGAATAAGGGAATTTCCCTTTTTTAAAAAGGGAAACGTTGACAGCTATGATCTGATGGGTCCTTTTTATTGCTGCTGCAGTTGAATCTATTCATAGCCCTACTTTGGTCACAATTCAGCCTTTGAACATGGGCCCTGAGCTGGAGTCTCTGTGCATCAGTCTGACTAATGCACACCTGACTGATTATTGCTCCTAGAAGAAACACTCTACACTTTACAATTGCATATGTATCAGTGTTAAAGCATTTGTTGCCCGGGAGAAAGGAAGGCAGAAGAAAAAACTACTACATGCAATCATAGGGATTTTATTTTTTTTAAGTGACAGTGTAGGTAGGAATCAAACCAGGGCTCTTACCTGCTCAGTTGTTTTAGGATAGGCAAGTGAGTCAGCAACCAGTGCAGATCTTGAATCTGACAGAGGGCAGGATGTGTGCAAGTACAGCAAAGAAGGGCTCTCTGAACAAGAGGTGGGGGAACCTGCCGCTCTCCGTATGTTGTTGGACTAGAAGTCCTATCTCCCCTGACCATTGGCCATGCTGGCTGAAGCTGATGAGAGTCCAGCAACACCTGGAAGGCCACAGGTCTCTCATCTCCGCTTTGAAGGAAGACACGAGCAAAAGCAAGAACTGAATGACCACCCACAATTAGGGATTATGAGGTACATGTGTCTTAACAGCAAGCATTGCTGCAGTATAGAAACTATAGCAGCAGCAACTAATTGTTTTACATTTTTCAAGGAACAGCTTCTAATGAAAATGTTGTGAGTGAAAAAAACAACAACCCTCAACCTTTGAAATGTAAGTAACTTTATGGTCAAAACTTAGAAACAAGACAGCTTGGCATTTTCAGTCTGGGGCTTCAATCCGCAGGGCGTCATCCCTTCCCTGTTTCCCTCCATGGCTTGTAATAAAAATATAGCAATAAAACAAAATTCTGTTTTTCAAGAACACACATACACCTTTCAGCCAGAGACCCATATGCTAATGCGTATGATCTGTCCTAACAGCAGTGTGTGTGTGTTCTGTTTGAACAACATTTCAGCGCAGAATGCTGGCTGCTTGATTATGTGACAGATCTTACAGTATAAAGATACAAAGGGCAGATCACAGGGAAAACCAGAAAGCAGCTTGGGTGTCAACACTAACCGGCCCAAAGGAAACAATTAGAAACCTCCAACATAGAGTGCAGAAAGATGAGATCTGCCAAGCTCCTAGCACAGAGAAATGGACTTACTGAAGAACCACACAGACCACATTCTTCCAGGTAAGGGTAATAAGGCTAGAATTGGCACTGTCCTAACCTTGCCTGGATTTAGTTTCCACTTTGTCTTCTGTAGCAGCCACCCTCCCAGTACCACAGATGGCAGCAGTGTGTGTGTGGAACAGTACAGTTCAAGCAGGATTCAGTTTTCGTCAGCTGTTGTCTCAGACACTCATCTTCTTTGGTGGCTCAGTTTTTGGGTGACATTAAAGATCTGCGCCTTTGCTATTTTAACTGCTCTCTGCTCCCTGTGTGCTCTGAAGCTTTTCTCCCTACCTTTTCCCTCCCCCCCTCCCCTCCTGGTTTTCTTCAAAGCGGCTGGAAGCATTTGGAAGTAATTAGACCTGAAGGGAAATGTTGGTCAGTCTGGGAGACAATGACAAGTGCCAGGAACCCTTGGTGCCCCTTCCAGCCACTTTGAAGTTCATTCAGATGGTACAATGCTCTTGTTTTCTTTGTTGGAAAAGCAGGGGCAGGAGGGAAATGGGCCATGTCAGGCACACTGAACAGGAAGCAGGTTACTCTGAACTGATAGAGAACCCGAACAAGTAGGTGGAGAGGATGTGCAATTCAAAAAGAGACTAATTGAAAGGCCTCTTATGGTCACCCTGCTTCCATACACCTACAAATTATGCACTCTCGGAAAAAAGTGTAACTCTTAGCACCCATCTAGTATCAAACTAGCCTGATCTGTTAGCCTGCAGCAGAGATATTTCTCCTCCTCCACTTATTCGTCAACTATTACGTAGAAGAGCCAGGGCCTTTGAATAGCATAGCACAGGGTTAAAAAAATTAGCTTAACTTCACAACTGTTTACAGAGGGGCAATTGCATCACACTTGGATCCAGAAGCCTTTGAAGTTGCACAAGTGTTTAGGGAGCACCATACTGTGGTCATGAGAAGAGATGGGTGCAGATGCTATTTAAGGACCTAGAGCCCTTAATGGCCTTCCTCAGCAACTGATTATTTAACAGGGGTTACGGTTTGAATTCAATAAGGGCTGGAGGAATAATGCGCGCAGTTGGCTCACTGCTGCCCTGTATATGGCTGAGCTACCTTGCATGGCTCAGCTTAGAGCAATCTGCATGTATCCACAGCAATCTGCTAGCAGGTATCCCTTGCTTATAATGTGATGTATGCAGAGGCTCCCTGGGCCCAGAGAAACTTTCATATTTTTGAATATGACCAGGGAGGAGGGAGAAGTGAGTGACAAGACTAAATGATTTAATGAGCCAACATATATGGGTGGGAGTTATACATATGTGATGAGAATACCTTCTGGTTAGTGAATTTTATAGGGGAAACATCCATTTGATAACAATCTGGATTAAGCTGCAACCTGTTCCTTTTTATGATATTGTTGGGGAGAAGTGCTAATGGACCACAAAGCTCTAATTGAAAATGCTACTTACTGCATTTGTAATTATAACACACTAGAAATCAACAGACCATGGCATATTGCGGAGGAGCTGGGAAAGCACTCCTTGCAGCTGAAATAGACATGCCAACTATATATTGATATGACTCCAACTGGAAACAAATTGTGATTAACCGCTGCACAGATGGGTTCCTTTTGCTGCACATTGGAATAATCATTGTAAAAGTCCTCAGTTAGAATAACATATTTTTTCCTGTTTTGTAATGTATTTTTATATAATAACAGTGTTTTCATTGAGAACAAACGTCAAAAGTTCTGAAAACTACCAGATATTATCGCAGTTCAGACCAAAATGATGCCAACTAGCAAGCCAGTGGTGTTTTTCTCTCCCAGAGTAAATATTTTCCACCTTGCTACTATTTTGGCAGCCTTCTGGCAAGCCTGGTATCAGGAGTTGGCATGGTTAGGAAGTTCCCAGGACGCAGAAACCCGAGCCCTTGAAACTGCTGATGGGCAGGGGTCGTAAGCTGCTGCCACTCTGATCTTTCTGGGCCTAATCTGAACTATGGGTTGACAGGAAGCAGTTGCCGGTGCTTGTTCATGCTGCCAGGGACTGGACATGGAGGGAGCACAATATTAGCAGTTGGTTTAGAAAAAGCAACCAAGGAAACAGAAATGAGGACAGCTTAAACTGAAGAAAAGGCAGCTCAGGAAAAAAAGATACAGGTGGAATACAGAATAATACTTCAACAAAGATATGAACTAGTTGAACACCTGAAGGCTCTGAGGGTAGCGAAGGAAAAAACCAGTACAGTGGTACCTCGGGTTACATATGCTTCAGGTTACATACGCTTCAGGTTACAGACTCTGCTAACCCAGAAATAGTACCTCAGGTTAAGAACTTTGCTTCAGGATGAGAACAGAAATAGTGCTCTGGCGGCAGCGGGAGGCCCCATTAGCCAAAGTGGTGCTTCAGGTTAAGAACAGTTTCAGGTTAAGAACGGACCTCTGGAATGAATTAAGTACTTAACCCGAGGTACCACTATATTTGGCTGTTTCCCAAATGCTCCCAGTAATTGATGGAAGCCTTAAGTAGGGCTCAGCCTGAAGCGCAAGACATCTGTGCATTTTTCTAGTGATTTGTCTCTTTTATCGCTTTATATATTGTATGATCGATTTTTTGTTACATTTGCTTTTTCGGAAGCCACTTTGTGATATTTTCTTCCAGTGAAAAGCAGTGTAGAAATACATGATTCAAACATGCACATAAAGCAAAGCGAACTGTGTGCTTCTTAAGAAGTGACAGCATGAAATCAACAGAAACTACCGTAAGCTAGTGTTCAAAAGGAAGTAGGAAGAGGCTCAGGGAACACTGGAATATTTAAAAAGATAAGCCAATGGAAGTTTCGTTATGGATCTGAAGCTCCAAAAGGGTTTTGGCATGTGACCTTGCCTACATCCTCTGCACGTGCATCACACATATCTTTAATTTAAAGATGGCCATGAAGTGCATTCTGGCTTGCCTCTACTTGCCAATGGCATTAAAGAATTAAAAGCAACATACTGAAGACTTTGAGATGACATCCTTTTTGGCTATCACTAACCTATGTTGTCTGAAGCAATTTTGCAGGGATGTGTGTGTTTTTATTACCCCAAAAGAGTATTCACTGACCAGGTCCTAAGGCATCTCTTCATTCAGATCTACCAACAGATTTTGAGAACTACAAAATATTGCAACAACGTATGGTGCCTGCAGCACTGGAAAAGGAGTGTCCAGCGTGTGGCAGGCATGGAGTCCTATGGGTTACCAGAAGCAAACCTCCAACATAGGGGATTTGGTGACAATTTATACAACACAAAGGTGACAACTGACATAAGTGTCACAGAGTCATATATGACCACCCAACTGGGTTTTTAATTATCCTCAACATCCTGGTCCTGAAGTTCCCTGCACCTACACAACAAATACAGCAAAGTAGTTCTACAAATTTCCGCACCTACTCCATGTTATTTAAACGACAGCGTGGTTGGAGTGTGTCTCTGCTTTACCCACCGCCCAAACATAATGTTGCACACAGAGCAGCAGAATGGGCAACAGAAAATGGTGCTTGCAATTTTATTCTGAAAAATCCGTTTGCTGGGCCCTGTCTTTCAGCAGCTTCAGATGAAGGAAAACAGAGCAACCCAACTTGCCTCTCAGCCAGGTGAGGCAACTTTCTGAAGGTGGAGATCCCAAGTCCTTCATCGCTTCCCACCTGAAATGCAAACATAAAGCAACTGTGAAAGCAACCTCTACTACAAACTTTGATATAGTGGAGCTTCCACACTGCTGAGCTTTCCAGAGCCTCCCAAATGATAGGTCCCTTCAAACTGAAAAGTACATTAGAATATTTTAGGGCTCTGCTGGTAGGAGACTGAGCAGAGCCACGTTTTACAGAGGGAGACAAGCATGGCGTACCATGCCTAAGATGGGTAGTAGGAAAGGCGTATGGGGGTAGTGGGAAAGGAAAGGAAAACTCTGATCTGCTTGAGGGAAATTCCTTCCCAGCCCTAAATCAGGATATTCAGATATGCACTTACCGTATTTTCTGCTCTATAGAATGCACCGGACCATAGGAGGGGGAGAACAGGGAAAAAAAATTCTCCCCCTCTCTGTTCAGCACCCCTTCAGCGAAGCGGCAGGAGAAACAGAGTCCCTTCCATTTCTCCTCCCGCTTCGCAGCTCTCCCTCTCTGCTGAAGCCAGGAGAGTCTTGCTCTCCCGGCTTCAGCAAAAGGAACCTGAAGCCTTCGGAGCGTAGCGCAAGTTCCCACTGCGCTCCAAAGGCTTCAGGTGGCTATCCCTGAAGTGTGGAGAGCGAGAGGGGTCAGTGCACACCGACCCTCTCGCTCTCCAGGCTTCAGCGAAAGCAACGCGAAACCAAGGAGCCTGCATTCGCTCCATAGGACGCACACACATTTCCCCTTAATTTTTGGAGGGGAAAAAGTGTGTCCTATAGAGCGTAAAATACGGTAGCTGACGAGCCAGACTGCCGCACAGAATCTTTTAGGAGCTGTACAATGGCTAGGAACAAGTATCTCACTGTAATACTGAAGATGGTACCTGGCAGCTTCAGCCATTTTGGCACTTTCCCAGATGGCGTCCTCCTTACTGGTGGCTGTGCTGCTTCAGGAGCCACTGCTGCTTCTGAGTGCCCTCTTGCCACGCTCCCATCAGTCTCATTTGGTTTAGGTAGGGAACTAAGAACAGGATCTGAATTCCGCTTAGTGGGAGGTGCTGATTTAGACAACCGCCTGAGAGAAAAGGTAAGTATTAGATGCTCATATTGGTCTTCCGGTTGCTAAGCTTGCATATTCCAAAATGTAAAGCACTGCAAATACTGTTGCGAAAGCCAGAGGTTGCGTATCAGCAAAAATGCCTTCCAGTCCCTATGGCTTTTGATACTACAGGGGTCTCTCTTCATTCATTTGGGGTGTTCAAAGCTGTCAGTGGGAGAACACGTGTAAAAGCAAGCTTTGTAAACTGCTGGCAAACTCTTCATTGGGCAAGGCAACAACTCAATGGAATGGTCTCCCTTGGGAGGTGGTGGACTCTCCTTCATTGGAGCTTTTTAAGCAGAGGTTGGATGGCTATCTGTCATGGATGCTTCAGCTGAGATTCCTGCATTGCAGGGGGTTAGACTAGAGGACCCTTGGGATTCCTTCCAACTCTGCAATTCTATGATTCTATGATAACTCACTCATCCACAACAGCTTCAAAAAGAATTATTCACACTACTTACCTAGCTACTAAGATGTCAGCTTCAGAAGGGGACACAGCAGATTCCAGGAGGTCCAACCTCAGATAATCTGTTAAACAGACACACACACCCCTCACACAAAGTTCTTGTCCTTCAGAGCTAGGAAGCCCCATGACGCAACTCTGTCATTTTGTGAAACCAATAGCCCCAACAAGCTGGACTAATCCTCTTCAGGACTCTTCTCCAAACCTGTGAAACATTTATCTCAACTTCTAAGATTGTGTATTTTAGAACACACATCTGTCTATCAGACCCTATTCTGTGAACTAGTTGAGTAAAGACGGCAATATTACACAAAAATAGAACTGCCAGACAGGGATGGTGTCTCCCCCTGCTTGTATATGTTTCTTTTATCATTTAGTTCTTGGCAGTTTCCTAGTAAATTGAACCGTTAGGAGAGACTACCAGATGTTATCTTCAACCTGCAGCACAACCCTGCTCTGATCTCCCCTGAAGACAAATCCCCCTAAAGCCCACCCAACTATGGTGGTCAGTCCTGCTGTATTTTAAAGATGTCCAGAACAGTATGCACCACACAGACATTTGTCCTCAGATTAACAGTGAACCATGGAGAGAGACAACTGTGAAATGTTCACGTGGACATTTACTGTATTAGTGTCTGGTCCAAAAAAATAAGTTAGATGCAGAACATATACATAAAGTTGCCATACTTTGGACCCAATTTTTACTTAAGGTCTAAATACCTACCCTGAAAAAGTGTGGAATTCTGCACACTAACTGAAGATGGGCCAATTCAAAAAAGATAATACCTCACCTATTTTGCATGATTAAGATTTCTATAGCTGTTAGCTAACTCAAGATACACACCACAGGACAAAGAGTACTCCCTAGCCGAGTCAAAAAAGAATTGAGAAAGGGGTGGTACATAGGGAGCACAGATTTTCACCTAAAAACAAGCCTCACCCCCAAATTGGAAAAAAAAGCCACTTGTGACCCAAAATTTCTACAGCAAACAATGAATGGCACTAAGATTCAGTTCATTTCACCTTAAACCAGAGTGGGCTTACAATCATTTCCATACTGGGCTATCATTTAATTTGTATCAAACAAAAAGGTTTTATGAACCTCTAAGAGCCCCGAGCTATAAATATCCACTTATTTATGCCCAACACATTAATCAGAGTTCAGCCACCATAGCTGAAACCATGGACACAGTTCATCTAGATCAGTGTTTCCCAACCTTGGGCCTCCAGCTGTTTTTGAACTACAATTCCCATCATCCCTGACCACTGGTCCTGCTAGCTAGGGATGATGGGAGTTGTAGTCCAAAAACAGCTGGAGGCCCAAGGTTGGGAAACACTGATCTAGATGCTCATGTAACAACTATGCAGAGTTTCTTATGGAGAGGAACAAGATAAGTGACTCACCTTTCTGCATCTCAGATCCAAAATGTACAATGGCAGCAGGGAAGAGGTTAGCCTATTAACAAGAGAAAATATTCAGGGTTAGAAGAAACACAGCCAGGGCCAGAAATACCTCTCCCCTCAGCCTTGGGAACATGCATGCACAGAACTGTAATGTTTCCTTGAAACTTAAAAGTGGGGAAATCTTGCTTGTCACAACATGGCTGGTTTCATACATAACGCTAAACCATGGTTTACTAAACTGACTTAATGTTATGTGTAAACCCTGCCCAACAACTTCACAATGGTTTACTTACTGCCAACAAACTACACTCTGAAGCTATGGTTTGTTGCAGCAATGGTTTGAACCTTGGTTTGTTCTAACAGTGACCTGGCATTACTCCCAGCATCCTTCCTTAACCATGGTTTGTTTGACCACCCCATCCTAGATGATGCTTACCAAACTGTAAAGGCACAAGGCAAGAGAAGCAGGAGAAGCAACAAACCAAACTTTGGAAAACCAAGTAATCATTGATTTAATTGTCCGCGGGACAACTTGTGGTTAACTTGTAGACTTTTAAACAAACGATGGCTTACCACTCAGTGCAAACCAGGTCACTGCCTTTCAAGAATACCGAGAATGCCACCATGCTGGCAACAAAGCCCTTTACATATGTAGACAATCACAATGTAGCCCAGCCTTTCCTAATCTGGTGCTTGCCAACTGTTTTGGACTACGATGGCCGGCCATGGTGGATGGAACCGATGGGAGCTTGGAGTCCAACAACATCTGGAGGGCACTACATTGGAGAAGTCTGGTGTAAGATGTTAAGTGTTGATGAACTGACTGTGCTGCTAAATTCAATACATATGTAAGTGGAAAGTTGCCCAGAATGTCCAGCACAGTCACATTTGTTTTCAAAAGAGAAAACTTAAATAATGGGGATTTGTGGATAAATAATTAAATTTAATATCTTGACTTTCTACATCAAGCACCCAAGTTAGCCAACAATATATAATACAGGGCAATTAAAAAAGAATCCTATAAATATGAATATACAACAACAGCAAAAGAACAAGATTTAGTTACCATCTATCTATGTATCTATGTATCTATCTATATTTAAAAGGAAGTTGAAAGGTAACATTTGTTTGCTTAGAGGGCAGCTGGGTGCCTTGCAAAGCACAGTGCTTCTGAGACCCACCTGCCACCCCTTGCTCTAGAGATACCCACCATCTTAATTCACACCCAGAGACATCTATAAATATAAATTAGGACAAGCGGGTGTCATGGGCATGTACCCCAAGTCTTTTAAGTGCCTAGCAATGCTTGTGGGGTGGGGAGAGGGAGTGAGGAACATGTTCTGAAAGTATTAAACAATACAAAATTTAAGTATGTCAAAAGCAGGACATGGAGGCAGTTGGACCATTAGATGACAAAGGAGCATCTGCAAAAAATAATAATACTGGATATCTGCTAATAAACCACTTTCCTGGAAACGAGGGCATCTGAAGAACTAAGTCATGAAGGGGGGAAGATGATGACTTACTGGGACTTACTGACAAATTAGAAACTTAGCTCACTGGGTCTGGATGGAACATACCTGAGAGTTCTTAAGTTATTCAGGATGGTGAGAACTCAAGCTCCACAAGGATCTTTCCAAACTAAAGGAGCAACAACATGGCAAATCCTGTTCCATGTAAATACCTACAAAGGTGAGATGCACACTGAGGCAAAAATTCCCAGCATCGTAAGTCTGGAAATCTTATGCTTCCCACCAAACACATCATTCCATTATCAGTGTTCTTGATGGAGAACCTCTGATTTGGGTCCAAAAGCTATGTACGTGGTACCTCGGGTTACATACGCTTTACGTTACATACGCTTCAGGTTACAGACTCCGCTAACCCAGAAATAGTACCTCGGGTTAAGAACTTTGCTTCAGGATGAGAACAGAAATCGTGCTCCAGCGGCGCGGCAGCAGCGGGAGGCCCCATTAGCTAAAGTGGTGCTTCAGGTTAAGAACAGTTTCAGGTTAAGAATGGACCTCCGGAACGAATTAAGTACGTAATCAGAGGTACCACTGTATTGGAATGAAAGAGGACAGGATGGTCTATATTCACTTGCCACAGAAACCACGTTGCTTCCATTATTTGAAGCGACCGGTGTGAAACAATGTCAGGATACTAAGAATAAGCCTGCATAACTGACTGCAGAATGTCTCTTCCTGACCCATTCGCCATAGACTTGGAATGAGCACCTGAGGGGCGGATGTGGGCATGGGCACTCAAAGTGGCCGACAGCGTCTAGCTCCCAGGAAAAGCCCACACTCCCTGCCCTCCTCAGCACCAGGGTTCACCTCCTTTCTAGCGACGAGGTCTTTCACAGTGCCAACCTGACATCCTAGCAGTAGGAAACAATATTTATTAGGCCCCTTAAAAACATTTTCTTTCTCAAGCAGCGGGACCCAGGGTTGCCAGCTCCACCAGAAGCCAGTCACAAAGACGGCTCTCCGTAAACTTTTTAATTAAAAAGTACCAGACACAGTTAAGAAACCCCCAAGAAAACTCTTACAAAAGCTTTGATGTCCCCGCTGCCTTCATCTGAAGGGATCCTACTATTTAGGGAATGGATTAAAAAAGAAAAAGAAGAAAAAAGGCCCCCCTCCCCAAACCTCTTCACATACACACTATCCTTTTCACGCCAGTCACAACGTTGGAAAATGAGGTTTTTGTAGCGTGTTAGTGTTGGAATTTTTTAATAACCTCCCCTCTCTTTTTCCCCTCTCCTGCCCAATTATCATGATGAATAATTAACATTCTGAAGGAGATAACTAAGCACAGCATCTCGGAGCTCAAAGCCCTTTAGTTCAAAGCCCTGCCCTTTTCTCTTCGATTCTCCAGTTGCTGCCACTAAAACTTCCTTGTCAATCAAGCTCTGGGCACACACATCAAAGCTTCATGTGGGAATGGCCCCAAGGGGTCAGAGAAAATTCATGGCAGGGCCTGTGAGTGAGGCACAAAGAAAGAAGGGAGAGACAGAGCGCAGAGGAACACAGTTCAAGAATGAGAGACACACGAGGCACAAATGCTGCAACACACACACACACACACACCATGCCCCGATAAGAGCCGCTACCCTATTTTTACTCAGAGGTTGACAAATAAGTCCCGCTTTAACTTCTGAGCTCCTCCTCTCCCAACCAATTCCCACCACTGGCAAGACATCAGTCCGAAGCTCTTTTAATTGGAAGAGACTTAAAGGAATGGGACAGCAGCTCGTAAGCACACAACATTCAGCCACCTCCTCCAGACTCGTTTTTTCCTCTCCCCCTCCCAGCTCTGCATCCCTTGCCCACCTTTTTCCCTTCCTAGAGTTTGGCCAATAAAAACCTCCCCTCAAAGGGGCTTCTCCACAGCTCCCTCCTTTACTTTTAAGGCTCATTTGTCTGCTTTCCTCTGTCTGTTGTATAAATTACATGGGAATCCCAAAGCCACAACACATTCCATGGGTGAAGGAAAGGAAAAGTATATTCTCTCAATAGGACCAATTAAATCCTTTCGCCTGCAATGCACAAAAATCAGCAAAATGATCATCACGGACTTTCAGGGTAGCTTTTGAACACATTAAAAAGATTTACAGAGAAAACAACTTCATTCCACCTCTGCTTCCCTTCTCTAAATCCACCTTGCCACTGAACTCTTGCACATTCCTATCACTTCACTGCTATGGGATAACACCATCTGATGGCATCTCCATGCCATTTTCATTTTCCTGCCCTGGGACAGAATATTAAATGAAAACAGAAGACTAGAGGCCACTTCCGATTTTGCCGCTGGCAGCAACTGCTTCCAAGGAATGAGTCACTCAATGCTGCCTCTGGGCTATGGATACCTTTGGCTTTTGAACGATTGGCCCTGCTCCTTCCTCTTTTCCGGGATAACACATTAGGATCAGGAATTCTCCAGATCTTCTGAAGATCACATTCTCATTTTGGTTATATTTTCGATTAACGGCCGAAAAAGCCTCTGGAACGCATGAAAGAGTAGAAGACTCCAGAATCAAAACCCAAGTTAGAGGGCGAGTAGCATCAGGCCTTCCAAAAGCTAGATTTTAGAAAGAACAGATGGTGCCTAATACAGGAACTTGTGTTATTTGACACTCGAGCCAAGGGTAGTCCGGCAGAGCGGAGTCCAACCTCATTTGTACCATTCTTTCTCAGATGAACCTGCCAAGCTTTATGTAAACATATACGACTACTTGTAATTTAGTGGAATCTTGCAGGGTCCTTCCATAGCATTCATCTCTGTCTTCGTACACAAATGAAAGCAGCTTACCAAATTAAGTTGGTAAAGTATAGAGGCACATGTGAAAAGATGCAAAAATGAATGCTCTAAAAAGCTGATACTGATAGTCTTGGTTAAAAGGGGAGACTGTGACAGATCTGCGCTATCACAGCATCTCAGCTTTGGCCTGGAGGTATCAACACATTAACAACAAAAGAACTTAGGAAGTGCCTTGCGAGATCAGACTGGGGGTCCATCTACTTCTATATCCAACAGCAGCTAGCCAGATGTTTCAGAAAGCTTACAAACAGGACATGGAATTAGTCAGCATGTTAAAACGTTAACACAGACATCTCTGCATGAAATACAGGATTTAGGTGACTAGACAGTACACGTAAAGCGGGTGGCGCTGTGGTCTAAACCACTGAGCCTCTTGGGCTTGCCGATCAGAAGGTCAGCGGTTCTAATCTGCGTGATGGGGTGAGCTCCCATTGCTCTGTCCCAGCTCCTGCTAACCTAGCAGTTCGAAAGCATGCCAGTGCAAGTTGATAAATAGGGACCGCTGCGGCGGGAAGGTAAACGGCGTTTCCGTGCTCTCTGGTTTCCGTCATGGTGTTCCGTTGCACCAGAAGTGGTTTAGTCATGCTGGCCACATGACCCGGAAAGCTGTCTGGACAAACGCTGGCTCCCTTGGCCTGAAAGCTAGATGTGCGCTGTAACCCCATAGTCACCTTTGATTGGACTTAACCATCCAGGGGTCCTTTACCTTTTTTTAAAGTTAAAAATGCC